TCACAGCAGACAGACACAAGACGAGTTGGTTAGCATGGTGGAGCATTTAGCAACCAGATAGTCCCTTCAGGAGTTGGTAGAGATCAAAACAGAGCCAAAAGAGTCATGTTTAAAATATAACTCAAAATGTCAATGTTGATTCTGCTGGATACTTAAATAAAAAACTATTTGCTTGTTCGCCGTATCAACTTTATAAGCTACCGTGTCAGTGTTGTATCTACAGCTTGTTGCACCAAGTGGCCAAAAAATCTATTATTGCAGTTTAACTAAATGAAATGTTTTGACAAGCACATGATATAACACAGCATACAATAAGACACCCAAGACATTAGAGTAAAATAAATGAAGTCAAAAGAATATATGTAATTAAATGATAATTTTCACTTTTTTTATTTTGGACTGTAAACATTTTAGGCAAATTCTTAGTCTGGGACAATGAAGCTCTTCCGGTGTACTGGTTCTCAAACTATGGTACCACTGGTGTACATGAGCTGCCTCTAGTCATAATATCTGAAATATATATACTATAATAGTGGTAGTAATAGTATATCATATTATAGTATTGTGTGTTTTTTTAATATTATCATTAGGTGTAGTACCTGATGATGGTCTGGTACTGAAACATTGCAAATAAATGTTAATTAAGACAGTATGTGGGAATTTATCTTTTGTACTTTTGGATACTCATCCCATTCCTACGCACCTGCCTCATGAAAAATAAGATCTGCAGACTTCTTTGGTGTATCATACAAAATATGCACAGTCACAATTCTATCCGCTACTCATGTGCCACCTCTGTCCTTTTAGGCTGCTGTCTGAACTGTTTCCTGGGGCCACTGAGCTGTACGAGCGAGTAGCGGCAAATCGGGAGCAGTGGACCAAAGTGTCCCACAAGTTCACCATCCGTGGGTTGCCTAGCAACAACAGCCTAGACTTCCTGGACCAGGAATATGAGCTGCTGCAGTCCCAGGGTGCTTTCGGGAGCGACGACCACTGCCTCAATGGTTGCCTTGAGGATGCAGAAGGAGGGCGGGGCCAGTGACACCAGCGGGCAGCTGATGGTTTATTGAAGTTTTCTGTGGTCCAATAAGAGGCTGAGGATACCTTTTTAGCGACCTAAGAGGGAGGGATGTCTCTGCTGTCGATCACTTAGATGCTTAGCAGGCCATGCAGAATGGACAGGACAAAGTTTCCAACTAATTGAATCAGACAAGTGATTTGAAACGAGTGGATTCACCTGAGCCGGTTCAGTGATTAGATGCTACATGTTGCTTGTGTCTCCAGTTCAGGAAAGCAGAGGGTGGTGACTTTATCTTTTTCAGCAGCTATACTGGAAAAATAAGTTTTTAACCACAAGTCACAAGTTCATTCATAGAGTACTGATCCTGATTACGATTGTAAAAACACACACACACCACCACACACACACACACACTGACACACTTATGTACATGCACATACTGTTCAGACACACACCAGAGAAAAAAAACAATTCATTCTTTTTGGAAAAAGACTACTTCAACATGTAACAGTGAGATAAAGTGCTATACTTTCTGTAAAATGTTTCATAATAGCTTATATTGATTTAAATGGCTCGGCTTTGTTCACACACAAGCAGCTGCCATTGTCCCTCACCTGATGCTTATGAATGCATGCTGTATGGACACCTCATGTATTATTCCTTTTATCCTCGTCGATTTCTCCATGGCTAAGAAATTAATGCAGTCCATTTTTATACCATCAGAACAGATTTTTGTATTCAGCTCTTCAAAGTATATTTAATTAATTCAATCCACGAACTTGTACAGGTTGAGGTTTAGTTCATTTACTTCCACAGCATTATAACCCTCATGTGTATTGATTCACTTTACCCCGTTTCTTGGGGTGTTAAAGGGACAATTTGACAATCACTGATCAATGACAGAGTCACAGATCCCTGGCCATAACCCCCTCCCCACTCCATGCAAAAAACATTTGAAACACACACCCTCTGCATTTTAACTGCATGTCACTGCATAAAGTGTGCATCTACATCTCAAACAAAAGCCTAAAACACACCCTCACTATTCTTCTCACCCTCTCCCTTGCACCTTTCTCACTTACTTTTTAGTTTTACTGATATCCTCATAAACCACTTTAGATAGAGAGCAACCGAAGCCCTTTAAAAGATCCATCTCATCTGTCTGTGTAAATGTGCCAGAGTAGAGCGTGTTATATGGAGTGTGTCATTGAGTGTGTCATATGGATCTGCCTTATTGCGCATCTTTGCTGCCTTTCTTAGAGCTTTTAATATATGAAAATTTAAATAAAGAGTCTGTTTAGTATGTATGTTGTATATTTGTTATAGACATAGTTTGAGTATCAGTGTGTTGACTGAATGATCACCATGCTCAGAAGTTGTATATTTGTGAAATACCTGTGTGGAGACCTCAGATCTCATGTCATTTCACTTCTTTCTATTTTAAGTTATGTATACAACTACCTGTGGATATTAGGCAGACACAACAGCATTTATTTTTCAGTTCTTAATGCGCTCAGAAAATTGTTTTGAAGAAGGAACTAGAGATGTAGCCATCATAGAAAAGACTCTTACCTAAAATCATCAACAGTTGACTATTGCTGCATCCCAAAGGAAATGTTTGAAAATTAGAGTTAAGTTCTCAGATTGTGCCTCATGTACAAAAAACATTTTAAAAATTGGTGGCTATGTGGTTTTGTGTTACAATATGCCATATTTAGTTTTACCTTACAATGTTTAAAATAGGAAATGCTGCAGAGTTAGGCTAAGATGACCACCAGAATAGTTGCAGAAAAAGAAACTTCTGAAATGGACACCACTGTACTGTATGTAGGCTGAGTGAGTGGGTGAGTAGATGAGAGACTGAGAGAGAGAGAGAGTGAGAGAGAAAGGGGTGGAGGTAGCTGGTTTCAGATCAAATGTTTGGTATTAGGAGTCCTTACAAAGCTGGTGCTGATAGTGATGATGCAGACATAAACCTCAAGTGATCTGCAAGCAGTTCTTTAATTATGTCGTCTTTTATACAGCCCTGATAATGCTGGTGAAGGTAGATGAAAGCAAAAATATGGCAATTATAGGATTTAAATATATTGTTTTTCTTTGAAGGGTCTCAGGAGGGTGCATTAGGGAGGAAGGTTAATTGGTTAGCAAAGTGGTTTGATGTATGTGTTATACCTACATCGGGATATGCATTAGCGCGACTGGATGAAATCCTTTGATTTGCCTCGGTCTGGCTTCATGAATATTTTTTATGATAAATTTCTTAAAGGGCGTACCAGTGTGTTTGTAGAAGAGCCACTCTATCTCTTTCTCTCTATCTCTCTCTATCTCTTTCTCAAGCTCTTTCTCTCACACGTGGGTTTTCCCATTTCTATTATTTTTAAACCACTGTTTCATACGTACCTGCCTTTTTCATGTGCAATATGAAGTGTCTGCCTCTGTGACGTTACATAGATTCCTATGTAAATACCTATGCCTCTTGTTAAGTTATTACTTTAGTTCTGAGTTCCCAAAGGCATTGAAGTGTTTGATCATGACGTTTCCATTGAAAAAAATGCAAATGCCTGTGACAATTTTAATCCTAAAATGCTTTTGAGAGTCCAGAGCTAGGACACTTTTCTAAACTGCGTGTGTATCTGTCCCTTTATGTTTGTTTTAGAGAGTCAGGGCTAAATGTGCCAAGCAGACATTCTGAACTTCCTGGCCAAGCTGCAAAGTGAAAAACAGGCATACCTACAGTTATTTTTTATTTTTTTTGTTCTTTAATGTTGCAGTGAAGTCGAGGGCTGTGTTCATATAAAACTTTTCTGATATACATCACGACCAGGGCTCATCCAGGAAGTATGAACCGAATCTATTTCCCATCATCACAGAACAGCAGGACTCTAACCTGTGATGTAATGTCATTGTAATGATCATCTGTGACATAATTGTTAAAAGTGGCAAAAGTATAATTGCTGTAAATATCAAAGTTTTAAAAGAAAATGTTTCTTGATTGTCTGTCATTATTACAATGGGAAGTATTTCAATTCTGTAATGTATTTAAAGTGGTTGCATCCTGTTCTCTTCTTTTTTCTTTTTTTTTTGTCATGCCATCTTTGAACAACCCCAATCGTAGACTTTTAGACAGAGGGGATGAAAGAAAACTATACGTGTGTTTAGGATATGCATATGATATTCTACCACAAATAGGAACCCAAACTAATCTGAAATGTATACATGATGCTTGTACTGAGGACTAAATCCAGTCATCTGTTAATTATTTGTTTTGTTGAGTTCTGAGTGCTGGTGGTCTTCTTCAGATGTAATGAACAAGGACAATTTTTGACAAGACAAATGGATGAAATTTTGATTTTTTTTTTTCTTTCTTTCTTGGAATAAATCTGGTGAAAGGCTTCTTGGTTACTGTCTGTAATACGTACAACCACACACCACTCAATGAACTGCATACTCACCATACAATACTACTTCACCATGAAAGTGTTGTGGAAAATATCAGGTGACATTAGACGACAGATTTAGTCATCACAGTGGCATCTCTGTTGATCCAGTTGGCCTCTCCCACATACTGATACTGTATAAGCATGGCCAGATTAACACACTGGGGGCCCTGAGGGCAAAAATCTACTTTAGTTCACTACTGACTCCTCATACCATGCAATCAACAATCTCTCTACATCCTGCATGTAGCTGAAATAAAGTTATCATAACTTGTTTGTACAATACCAGACACTTATTAAGAAGAGGCTCCAGTGAGGACACGCCCAAATTATACTTTGCCAAGAGCTCCTGAAAACAACCAAGTGATGTAAAATTAAAACAAACAGGAATTTATTTGGGAATATGTGTATTTTAAGAATTTCACAAGGGTCCCTTAATATGATGCCTATTACCAGACACATGACGTGAAACAAGATAAACTATGCTAGAAACAAAGCGAAAAGGACGTCTTTTTCAATTTAAATCATTACATTTGGCGTCTCTAATCCAGTTTGTAAGAGAACCAATAAATTCTATGTGGAAGTAACATTTGATTTATGAGTTTCAGAAGAGGGACATAAAAGTATAAACAAGACTTTTCATGCAGAGTTATGCAATACACTGCACCAATAAAAACAAAGCTAGGGCTAGCTCTAAGCTAGCTAACACTTACATCCCAAACATACAGTACTGTACCAACACAAACAGATTCAGGGAGCGAGGCGTCCATCCAGTTGGTCACATCAGCCCAAACAAACCAAATCACACCAAATTAAGATGAAACAAAAGAAAACATTTTACTTTTCAATATGTACATGTATATAATAGAGTATGTATAGTATATAGTAGAGTTTTGTTTACTTCTGATACTATAAGTACACTTTGTCTGTTATTATTTCAGGTTTGAATGCAGGACTTTTACTTGTAATGGTGTACCTTTCAGTAAGAAAACATTCAAAATTATTAATAAATAAGCATTTGCAACTTGATCTACTGACAGTGTCAAAAGTAAAAGTAGCCTGCTCATCATCCAGAATGGCCCCTGAAAATATTAGGCTTACTAGATAATTGTCATTGATTCATTAAGATGTGAGCAGTACTTTAATGTTTAATGTATATCCATCAATACATCAGATTTTAGGAACTGGTCTGCTTTTCAGATTAAGATTTAATGTACATTAAATCTTAATCTGAAAAGCAGGCTTGGGGAGTAACAGATTACATCTAACCGAGTTATGTATTCAGGATCCGAAAAAAGATATCTGAATCCATTACAGATGTAATCACATTACAGTTACAATTAGTAAAAATGGGAATTATTATTTGGTCACATTGTCCTGTTGTCTTATAGAAAACACTTACATCAATACTTCTTATTGATCATTCCTTTCTCTTGTTTTTATTTGCACATTTGGTGTTGATGTAATCCAAATGTAACGGGAAGAAATCGAGTTACGTTACTTTAACATAGTTGGATTAGGTTAGTTAATTAGTAATTGTACCAGATTACATTTTTAAAGTAACCCTCCCAACCCTGCTGACAAGTATAAAATGGTTAAGCTGTTAAATGTAGAGGAGTAAAAACAATATTTTCCTCTGCTATGTACTACAAGTACAGCCACTCCAGTTAGTTACTTTCCACCACTGGTTATTTTTTATTGCATTGTGGGATTACTACTTCTACTTTTAAAGTAATACAATAATTTGAGTAGTCTACTTCTTCCAGAAAATACTACCAACAGCAGGTACGTGTCGAATTACAGTTCAGGAAAGACACGTATTGATTAAAAGCTCTAATATCTGTAATATGTATGTGATAAATCTTAAATTATCCTCAGGTACAGGTGACAACAAGTAAAGTTGAGAAAACCGCTCCGAAAATTATTAATTTCTCGCGCGACTTGGACTGCGTGAGCTCTGCGCAGTGAGAAGTGCAGGTGGTCCGCCATTGCTGTATGAACAACTCTCGGGGTTTTGGCGTTTGGCTGTCA